CTTTTCTTTTAGCTGGAAGATGGAAGATATAGACTGATGATCGAGAGATTCCACGTAAAAAAAACTCAAGCTTTCTTCTAGGCGATCATGGTATACGGCTCCGGCGACTTCTTCTTCTCCGCGAGCTTCTTCTCGATCCTGGACGCGAGATCCCCGTCGCATTTCCGGAAGAGACCCATTTGACGCTCTTGGATGAACTCGGCGGCTCCGCGGATGTGGTTTGCGATGTTTGACACGGTTTGCTCCTTGTCTTCCTCGGACATGAGTTTCCAGAGCATACGGGGCTGCTCGTAGTCGTCCTGTTCTTCCCATTTTCTTGGAGGGAACCGGTCAACTGTTCCACCTTCATGCCTGCGTAGAAGAAGGAACAGGAATGTTAGAAGCTCCTTCCCGGAGATAGGAAACAAAAGCTTTGCTTACTCGTACGGGTGAACATCCGGCTGAGTCGGGTCGTTTCGAGGCAAGTTGTCGTACGAGTTCGGATAGTAATTGGGTTTGCTGCCGCCGTTGTCCGAGACAACCATCGCTCCATCTCGAGAATATGTCTGGACTTTCACAATGGGTTTGTTGATCGGAACCTGGATGGTGGTAGACACAAGCAGATCACATTTAGAATCTTTGGAAAAAGACATACGTTTATAAATTCTTACGTCGTGGAAGTTTGTCCCAATTCTGTATCGAGCAGCGTCGTCGTAAGCAAAGAGCCGGGACTGGAGTATACGGTCCGGGGAAGCCTCAATCCCAGGAACAAAGCTTCCTGGAGAGAATGCCGCTTGCTCCACTTCCGCGTGATAGTTTTCGACATTTCTATCGAGAACGAGCCTGCCAACTTCCATGAGGGGATAATCCTTGTGCAACCACACCTGAAATCCACGTCCTTGAAAAACAGAAGAAGAAGAAAACTTGTGTCACATACCTTTGTCAAGTCGAAAGGATCCCACTTATACTTTGGAGCGTCCTCCAGCGGCATGACTTGGACGCAGAACTTCCAGGCCGGGAAGTTCCCTTCCTCTATGCTAGTCAAGAGATCCTCGGTCGCGTAGTCTGGTTTAGACCCCGAGAGACTCACGGCCTCTTCGTGGGTCAAGTTTTTGATGCCGTGCTCCGTGACGAGATGGAACTTCACCCAGTGAGCTTTCCCCTCCTTGTTGACCCACTTGAAAGTATGCGAGCCGTATCCGTTCATGTTTCTATACGTAGCCGGCACTCCTCGAGGCGAGAATGTGATCAAAAGCTTCACAAGGAGAATCGACAAAGTTGATCAAAGTTACGCAAAGAGTTCTAAGTTACCTGATGCATGGACTCGGGAACCAAGCTCAGAAAATCCCAGAACGCGTTTGGATCTTTGGCGTTGGTCTTGGGGTTCCTCTTTTGCGAGTGGACAAAGTCGGGAAACTTGAGAGGGTCCCGGACCCAGAAAACTGGCGTGTTATTCCCGGTCATGTCCCAGTTCCCTTCCTCGGTGTAAAACTTAACCGCGAAGCCTCGGACATCTCGCGCAAGGTCGGTGAATCCACGCTCGGCCGCCACGCTCGAGAACCTGGCGAAAACGGGGGTCCTCTTTCCGGGCTCGCTCAAGAACTTGGCCTTGCACAAGTTTGATACGTCCCTACAAATGGCATGGAGTCCGAAACGTAAAAGAAACAAGCGAGCCGAGTAGCAGACTTACTTTGTAACTTCGAAGTATCCGTGAGCTCCGGCACCTTTGGCATGGACGACGCGCTCGGGAACTCTCTCACGGTTGAGCCGTGCTTGCTTCTCAAACAAATGGACGTCTTCAAACAAAAGGTGTCCACTCTGTCCTATAGTTACACTAGAGGAACACAAAGAAAAACAAAGCTTTCGATCGAATCCAAGAAAAAAAAACCAAAGCTTTTGATCGAATCCAAGCTTTGGGAAGAACCACAGTACCTGTTGTTATCGTCCGAGACTGGAGCTCCGGCGAGCGTGGTGTGGAGAGGCTTGCCCGAGCTTCCAACTCGCACGCTAGCGCTCTTGCTGTTGCCATTCGAGGCCTTGGATCCACTCTCGGCGTCCATGGAGCTTCTCACCTTGAACACTATGGAGGAAGCGCCCAGCGAGGCCATTCTTTAAAATACCGTCGCTGGCGCCACGCTCTAAAGTACTATACACCGGCGCCGGACGTGGCGCCGCGAAGATGGCACAAATTGGCAGAGCCATGTCCTCACACTCGGAGTTCCATCGTCGCTACACCTAGCATTTGACAAGAAAACGAAAGCTGGGGTTAGACCTAGAAAGTGATCGTGATGATCCCGCGAAGTTTCTAATCCAAATGCTTCATGAGATGCCTGGCATCCATCGCCGATCGCCCAGCAGACAAGATCACCCGCATTGCGCGATTCGATGACTTGGGCTTGGGTTCCAAGAACAAGGATTACTTGGCGTGGGACGCGATGCTCATTGACTATGCCAGCTACCGGCACTGCGAGGAGGCCAAGGCGGCGTTTGATTCCATGCCGGCGCACACTCTAGTCTCTTGGAACGTTCTTCTCAATGCGTTTGGGCGATCTGAGCTCGTCGATAGAGCAAAAGAAGTCTTCTATTCAATGCCGCGGAGAGATCTGGTGACCTGGAACTCCATGCTCACGGCATATGCCCACAATGGGCATTTGGAGCTCGCAAAGATTTTGTTTGACCAGATGCCGCTGAGAACACTCGTCTCCTGGACAGTCCTTTTGGTGGCGTTTGCAAGCTCTTCTTTTGCAGATGAAGCAGAGAGGATCTTTACTCAAATGCCGGAGAGAGATCTGGTTTGCTTCAATGCGATGCTCGCGCAATACGCCAAGCTTGGGCGAATCGATCAAGTCAAGAGCTTGTTTCATGCAATGCCCGCCCGATGTTTACTCTCATACACAGCGCTCCTAACTTGCTACGCACAAAGCCTCAAGCTGGGAGACGTTAATCTTGTTCTAAGCTCCATGCCCGAGACCGATGTAATTTCCTGGACCATTGCTCTGACAGCAAATGCCCAGGTAGGGCATCTGGAGAGCGCCAAGCACATCTTCAAAAGCATGCCCGCAAGGAGCTTGTTTGCGTGGGCGGTGATGATCAACGCTTACGGAAGCAACCTCTGTCTTTCAGAAGCTCAGGGTTTGTTTGATACGGCACCGTTTCTGAACCTTGTGCTTTGCAACTCAATTCTTGCAGCAAATGCCCGTTGTGGGCATCTTGAGCAAACGCAAGAAACCTTCAACCAGATGCCAGAGAAGGACATTATCTCGTGGAACACCCTCTTGGGCGCGTTTGTCCTGGCCGGAAGACCACGCGACGCCAGCGATCTCTTCTCCAGGATGGAATTCGCCGATGCCATCTCCTGGACACTAATGCTAGCTGCCGCCCCATCGATCGCCCACGCTGAGCTTCTCTTCGAGCAAATCCCGGAGAAGAGTAGCGCGTGCTGGGACGCCATGCTCTCGTCCTACGCTCGATCCGGCCGGCTGGAGCTCACCCGCAAGCTCTTCGATCGCCTGCCATCCAAGAGCGAGTTCTCGTGGAGCACCATCCTCAGCTCTTACAGCGCCAGCTCCGAACACCATCGCCAAACTTTCGAGCTCTTCGATCTGATGAAGATGGACCAGGAACCTTGCGAAGTTTGCTTCGTGTCGCTGCTCATCGCTTGCAGCCATGGAGGGAGCGTGGCCCGCGGCCGACACCACTTCGTCTTGATGGGATTCGACTATGGCCTCACTCCCACCAAGCAAAACTTTTGCTGCATGATTGATCTCCTGGCTCGAGCTGGGCATCTGGAGGACGCCAGAGATCTCGTCGACCATATGCCTTTCCGGCCGTGCTCTCTCGACTGGACTTGCTTGCTTGGAGCTTGGAGAACTTACAATGGTCCTGCCAATGCGAAAGAAGTCCTGGCATTCAATCCTTCTTCGCCATCTTCTTATTCTCTCGTTGCAAACATCTGTTCTTCGAGGTAAATGTGGCCGAAAACAACATCCCGGTCAGCGTTTTGTTCGTTATCACGTAGAACTTACCGCTAGAGCTTGACGAAGACTCGGAGTTCGCCTCTGTCTCCTCGAGTGATTCGGAAGTCATCATCCAGGTAACTCACGGTGAATAGTCCACTGGAAGATGAACGCAAGAAGTCTGGTAACCTCGGAAGGTCGAGCGGTGGCAGCTCGCTTAGAACTCCCAAGCCTTTGATGGATGTTTTGTCAAAGATGATCTTCACGCTTGCTCCGCCTACATATATAACTATGTTGCATCGAACCATCAGATGGATTAAGCTAAGCAAACCTGGAAGCTCAAAGGTATGAGCTAGTGTGGCTCTCGTCTCCAGTGGTGGCAAGGGCCAAGGTGTTGGGGCCCGAAACTCAACAATGTTGTCGAACTCGCGGCTTAATACATCGATTCTTTGGTACACCTTGTGAGCAAAAAAAAAAAACAAAGTAAAAAACTTTCACCAAAGAGATTCAAAGAGAAACTAAAAGAGTACCGGACCAAGTGTCAGAGGAAATCTCGCCGCTCGAGGCCCAGGCCTGCTGCCTCCCAGATTTCCGGAAGCAAAGGCACTGCTATAGACAAGCCTCCATTTCCCTTGCAACTTATCAAGATCACGAGGCAGCTCAATTTTATCCCCAGCGTCCTCGAGTCTCTTGGAAGCAAGGTCGGCAGCTTCAACATCATCGTCACTTGCGAAAATGCCTCTGTCCAACCCGGCAACCACACTCTGTGAAGAGGAAATTCGTTAGCAAAGAAAGAAAAAGAGAGTAAAATTTCTAGATAAAGGGACAACTTACCAGGAGGTCAGCCTTCAGTGCTTTGGCTTCGAGAGAGGAAGAGGGCGAATTGACATCCGTTGCTGCTGCTGCTGAAAAGCATATCAGATTTTCTCTTGCTGTATGCTTGTTCGATTTTCTTCTGCTGGACAAGTGTGAGCGATGATGATGCCATCGAGGCAGTGAATGAATGAATGCAACTGTAGTCATCGAACCTAAGTGTAAGACGAACACCGACCAAAGTACAGCAAGTAACTTAAGCTGTGAGAATATTTCTTATTGCTGAAAAATAAATGAGATGTATAAGTAATCAACTTTTGAGCAGAACCTGGCTTATTCGATCCTACAAGTTCACCCATTTCAAGGGGTCCAGTGCCTCACCATTCCTTCTAACTGTAATGAAGTGATTAAGAAAAGGAATGATTGATCTATCTCCCAGGAACAAACCTTCAAAATGAAGATGAGGCCCAGTTGCGTGCCCCGTGGCTCCTACCGCTGCGACTCGCTGGCCTCTCGAGACTTGCTGTTACAAAAATAAAACACCCGTTAAAAAAAGCTTAGCAAAACTCACTCCGCAAGTACCTGACCAACGCGAGCATGAATGGCACAGCAATGCGCGTATCTAGTTACAAACCCTCCTTCATGTTGAATTGCAACCAGGTATCCATATCTGCACGACTAGGTAGAAATGAAGCGACCAGGACAGAAAGAGAAAAGAATACCCGCCACTCCATCCGGCAAAAGTTACAAGTCCTCTGTTTGATGCAAGGATTGGACTGCCTTTATCTGCCGCAAGATCTACACCCTGAAACGTGAACTCAAGTTAAAGTTTAGATATGATATGGTGTCGTCATTTACCTCGTGGAAGGCACCCCATCGCCAACCAAACGGGCTACTTATGAACCTGCATTGGAACGAAGTGTAAATGTTTCACACATCGAAAGTTCCTTACGCGTCAGTAAGAGGAGAACTGAATTGAAATCGCTTGTCTCTTGGTTGTTGGAAGCCTTTCTTCTTTGTTTTCCATCGCCCTGCCAGATATACGGCTGTAAGAAAATGATTTCCTGAAGTAAACCGGCAGCTACCTTCAAGCTTGATTCCTCCACTTGCAACTCTTGCTTTGAACGTGAGAGCCGGACCTCCGACTGGATATTTACTGCTTCCTTGTAGCGAAGACGTGTGCCTGGAGAACAATGGACGACTGGTCCTCCGCCTGCCGGATCGTATGTCCGAGATGTCTATACTTGTGGGGTCTGTGAAGAACAAAAATTAAATACATCAATGAGTGCAAGGTTTTACCTGAAGCGATGACAAGGTGGTCGCCTTCGAAAATAGCATCATCCCGCAAATGGTTAAGCTTTTGCAACTCCCTGATGGTTAAACTGGGGAAACGACACCACTTTTTCGAAAACTAAACAGAATAGAAGAAACATACCCGTTGGCACAAGCTATGTCTGCCAAAGTATCGCCATACCGAACCTTGACGTACTTCAATGGCCCGGGCATCGGTTCTTTCCTCCCGGCAATAGGTAAGGGTGTCTCGAGAATGCCATCCAGCAAACCATTCCTTTCTTTGAAGCTTGCTTTCTTTCCAAGGTATGTCCCGTGCAGACGACGAGAGTGTGCTCTATCAATCTTCAACACACTGTAGAAAAGAAAAGAAACAAAAGTTTAAAGCGATCCATGTAAGGAATGACAAAATGGTAGCAAACCTTCCCGTGTATATGGTATCAGTCTGTAGATTGTTTAGCCTGCGAAGAGCACTCACAGTGGTCCCATATTTCTCGGCAAGCCACTCCAAAGAATCCCCGTCCACGACCTTGTGAACTCGATCTCGATCTCTCCACAAGAAGCTCCCAAGCAGCATGAAGATCTTACTGAGCGTCAGATTCTCGGCTTGGCTAGAAAACGAAGAATCCTTCACTGTGCTTGCCGTTGCTTCTCGAGCGTTTCTAGTTTGTGTTATAGGCTGCCGGACACTCACCGGAGGAATGCAAACGTTGGACGAGGAAGAAACTTGTGGAATCCTGATCCGGCTCCCTACGTGGATACTATCTGGATTGATTAAGTTAGGATTGGCCTTGAGCAATGATCTAGAAAAATCACAAGAGAAAGGTTGGCCAAAGAGAACACACGAGCAAAAAGGTAAAGGTACCTCAAATCCACATTGTGACGCCGCCCGATATCATAGAGCCAGTCCCCTCTTTGTACTTCGTGCTCGGTGAATTGCGCCACCGCCGCTGCCGTGGCCGCGGCCGTGGGACGAACATCGCTCGCGGAAGAGAAATTCTCCGACGAGTCCGAGACGAATTTCACCGAGTCCTGGCAATCCGGCCATGAAATTCCACCCCCAGCCAAATCGAAGAACAAGAAGGCATACCTTTGCATTGTATTGTGGCGAAGGCCGGACGCTGACCAAATCCGACACCATCGCCGCGGGAGCTCGCTGGAAATATCAAGATCCACCCTTAAATCCTCATGGCGCCCTACGATCCTCCCTCGGAATTCTCGGAGCCGAAAGAAAGAAAGCCCTCCCGCAATGCGGGTGCTCCATCCCGCTGCCCTAGATCACGCCAAGAAAGCGCCAATCTTCATGCCGGCGGAGCGTGGGGTCGATCGATCGATCGTGGAGCCGAGGGATGGAATCCACCTGTTTTTTGCTACAAGCTATTTCCTACTGTACTGGCTGATGCGTTGTTTGGAAGTGATTGAGACGGGCTCGATGGACAGCGTATTATATTTTAGCCCGTCACTGGACATTCTGGGGCGGAATCCGGAATGTCTAGTTTTCTTCCTATGACCTGGACGATCCAAGCCCTAATCGCTATGATGCTATGCCACAGGAAAGCGCCGGACTTGTGGAGTGGTGCTGCGTCTGGCCATTCTTCGCCACGTCCATGTGCTGCAAGGATCGCAAGAAGATCGTCATCGTGTTGCTGGGGCTGGATTCCTCGGGGAAATCCACGCTGCTAGCCAAGCTTCGGTATCCCGCATTTTCTTGTTCTTTCGAGATTTCTCCCGGAAATCTTGGAGCAGGAAGGAGAAATTCACATCGGTGCTCCCGACGTGTGGATTCTCGTGCAAGAAATGGAAGATCCAGGACTTCGCCGTCTATGTGTTTGATTTGGGAGGACGCAAGGGATTCCGCGGCATTTGGCCTCACTACTTCGCAGAGGTAAGTATATTTTGCTTTTGCTTACACAGTGCAGGACATTTTTCCACGGATTCTCTCAGGCCTATGGCGCGATCTTCGTTCTCGATTCCAACGACAAGGCTCGATTCTCCGAGGCCAAAGAGGAGCTCCACAACGCTGTGAGCAACACTTACCTGGCTGGAAAGCCTGTTCTCGTGGTGGCGAACAAGCAAGGACCGGGATCGGCAATGCGATTCGACGATATAAAATTTTCTCTGCGCTCTCTGGAAGCCGCTCACAATCTTGCTGAATGCAAGTGTAATCTACAGGTAAATTTTCTACGTACTATCTCATTAGTTTCTTCTTTCGTTAGAAGCTCAGGAAGGAGACGCTGCGCTGGATGGAGATTTCCAAGAGGGTCTTCAATGGCTCCTAGAGACCATCCAGCTGCAGTACAAGGAGCTGCGAGACCGAGTAGACAAAGACTCGTCGGCTCAGGCAAGAGATCTTTTCTTTGTGTTACCCGAGCTTGTTGTGTTAGGATCCTATCCCTTACACCCTAAGCCAACTGGCTAAAGGGGTGATCACTTGATTGCAGGGCCCTTTCCTTATCTTATTATCCTGACTTGGTGCCTAACAATCCTCCCCCTTATCAGGGAATGATTGTTTGCGATCATACTTAGGCCACCATTGTCTGCGATCATACTTAGGCCACCATCCGGTCACCATGGTCCTTCTTTTAGGGTTTACCAAACCTTGGTTCTCCCTCTAGATCCACCATGTGAATATTCCTCAAAATATTCCTACCCCACTCGTCAGCCACGAGTATCGAACTAGTATCTGATACCATTGTTAGGATCTTATCCCTTACACCCTAATCCAATTGGCTAAAGGGGTGATCACTTGATTGCAGGGCCCTTTCCTTATCTTATTATCCTGACCTGGTGCCTAACATGTTGTGACTAGAGTTATCCGCAGCGAGCTCGAGAAAGCAGGCAAAGAAGCGAAAGGCGAGAGCGCATCAAGCTCATGAAGGTCTCAAAGTCACATATTGATTCCCCTGCTCGCTACATTTTCTTATGCAGGCTTCTCCGAGACTCCATCCCCCAAAAGGCGAGATCCATCTCTCGAAAGCGGAAGCACCATACCCTGTGGAAGATTTGCTCTCAGAACTCGAATCAGGAAAAGAGGCTGTCAACTACGAGTTCCATCAGTCGACAACGTCCTTGCTACTTCCAGGCCAGATTGTCGTGTAAGATCGTCCTTTTTTTCTCTGGTAGAAGTAATATCGTCTTATTGATCGTAACTTTGCGCAGTTAAAACGAGCGGATAAATTCACAGCTTCGTAGCACATCCTTCCTCGACTGCAAAGAAAAAGGAGAAGAATTTAAGTTCTTACGATCCACTCACTTGGACCGTGTAATTACTTGCTCGGTGAGCTCCGTCAGCGCTCTACGACACAAAGACGCCTTGTCCGAGGCCGTGGGAGGAAAGGCCGCGACTGCATCGGCGGCCTTGGACGCGTGCTCCCTGGCCAGCTCCTTGGTCTTGCGGATCCCACTGCTCGCCAGCACCATCTTGAGCGCACTGTCAACGTCCCCGGGATCCTTGAACTTCCGGTCGATGAGCTCCTGTAGCGCCGGGTGCTCCTCGAGCGCGTAGAGCACCGGCGCGGTGGCAATCCCCTCCCGCAAGTCGGAGAGCGCGGGCTTCCCCAGCGACGCCTTGGTGCCCGTGAAGTCGAGGAGATCGTCGACGAGCTGATAGGCGAGACCGAGGTGGCGGCCATAGTCAAAGGCCAGCGCCGCCACCTCCTTGGGGTGCCCGGCCAGGATGGCGATGCACTTGCAGCTATTGGCGATGAGCGAGGCCGTCTTGTAGAAGGTCTTCTGGAGGTAGTAGTCCATGCTCGAGCTCTTCTCGGCGTCCACTGTCCACTGCATCACCTCTCCGGCGACTAGATGCTCGAGAACTTTGGACATGAGGCCGACCACCTCGTCGTTCTGGAGCGTGGAGAGGCTAAAGGCGGCGCGGGCGAGGAGGAAGTCCCCGGCCAGGACCGCGAGCTTGTTGCCCATGATGAAGTTGAGCGAGGCGATCCCCCGGCGCGTGTCGGCGTGGTCAAGCACGTCGTCGTGGAGGAGGCTGGCGACGTGGATCATCTCGGTGATCTCCGCGAGCTTGTGATGGCGCCAGTTCTTCTCATCGCTGGTGGCTGCAGCGGCGGCGGCGCTGGGGAGGACCATTGTGAGAGACGAGGACATGAGGAGGAGGACCATTGGCCGGAAGCGCTTGCCCTCCACGCCCAGCTTGAAAAAGTACTCGGCGGCGGACGCGAGCTTGGGGACCTCGGCGGCGACCATGTCGCGCAGCCGCCGCCCTAACTGGGCCATCTCCTCTGCCACTAGACCAAATGGATCCACTTTGTTGTCGACGTCGATCTTCGGCTCGAGCTGGACGAAGCGGCGAGAATCCCAGCGCGCCGCCAGTGGCAGGAGCTTTCTTGGACAATCGGCCGCCCAGGGATGCGATTGGATCGCCGCCGGTGTCGCTGTGATGGTCGGCGAGAGTGATAGAATCCGGGGGAGAGCGCGGCGCCATACTGTCGCCGCCATTGCTAGAGATTTAGGCCTAACCCGGCGCCCGGCGGCTAGGAAATCGCGATAGCGTACCCCATTGCGATCGCCTCCTTCCTCGTCGCGTTCTTGTCAGCCGCCGTGCTCTCTTTTTAGGGCTTTGAGGGATTGTAAGGGTTTTCTGGCAAGCTATGGGGTCGGGCGAGGACGATGACAAGATCAGAGCGTCCAAGAAGACGCTGACGGTGGTCATTGCGGCCATTCTGACGCTGCTCACGAGCTCGCAGGTGCGTACATTGCTGGATCCAGTGCCCCGATCGAAATTCTTTCTTTGCAGGGGATTCTTACGGCTCTTTCGCAATCCAATGGAGGCTACGATTACGATTACGCTACCGTCCCATTCTTGTCCGAGCTGCTCAAGGTGTGAGATCTTGATCATTGTGAATTCCACTAAAGCTGAGGCTTTCGTGGTATTTTAGCTTGCATTTTCGGGAGTTTTCCTCTGGAACGAAGTGAGATCGTCCAGTAGCACACAGATCACGGGCGATTGGAAGACAATGCGACTGTATCCAATTCCTTCCATCATCTATCTCATTCACAACAATGTCCAGTTTGCGACACTGACTTACGTGGATACGTCGACCTATCAGATAATGGGTAATCTCAAGATCGTCACGACTGGCATTCTTTTTCGGTAAGCTCGGGAATTTCTTTTGATATTTGAGCTTTCATGGTTAAGACGTGGTGATCTCATAGTATTATGCTGAAGAAAAAGCTATCGAACTTACAATGGATGGCCATAGTTCTGTTGACAGTGGGAACCACAACGAGTCAGGTAGAATTTGCATTTGAAAGGAAGACTAAAACGTGTTGTCTTTGAACAGATCAAGGGGTGTGGAGAGAGCAAATGCGAGAGTTTGTTTGCTGCGCCAATGCAAGGCTACTTGCTGGGAGTTTTATCGGCGTGTCTCTCAGCACTAGCCGGCGTTTACACTGAATATCTGCTGAAGAAGAACAACGATTCACTTTACTGGCAGAACATCCAGCTTTACGGGTAAGTAGTTTCATGTAGACTTCACACAAGAAGAAGTGTTGGGCTGATTCAAGCACAGGTTTGGCGTCTTGTTCAACGCCTTGAGACTTAGCGTGGACGACGTGAGTGCCAGCTTCACGAACGGTCCTTGGTGGTTTCGGCTGTTCAATGGTTATAGTTTTGTTACATGGCTCGTCGTTATCAACCTCGGGTGCACGGGATTGTTGGTTTCTTGGATCATGAAGTACGCGGACAATATCGTGAAGGTCTGGAAGTTTTGTTTGCGACTCTTGGAAAACTCGCTTGCTTGTGCAGGTTTATTCCACATCTATGGCCATGTTGCTCACGATGGTGTTATCTATTTACCTCTTCAACCTGCAGCCTACGCTGCAAGTAAGCTATCTTCCCTCTTTGAGCTTTCCTTTTTTTTTTGTTTTTTTTTGCTGATACTGACTTTGGGCGACTACAGCTATTCCTGGGAATTATCATATGCTGCATGTCGCTTCAGATGTATTTCACCCCTCCGCATCTTCTCGTTGATTCGCTTCCACAGTCATCGCTTCCTCTATCCGCCACGAGAACGTAAGACGCAATTACTTTCTCTTTACAAAGAGCAAAATAGAGGAGAGAGCCTCAGAAAGTATCCTCGAGAAGGTTTGATCTGCCATTCATTTTTCTTTGCGCTTGTGCACTCACTGTACGTGTTTGCAGGCGAACTTTGTTGCTCACAACTGTAAGAACAAAGAATCAGCACGTCCAGTTTCAGCGAGGATCACAGAAATTGATCCATCGGGGAAGAAAAGAGAAGCGAAGAAAAAAGCAGCAGCTCTATACACGCGCGACGGCCTCATCACGTATCGCGCTTGTAGAAATACTCGTTGATGCCCGGGGTAATCTGAAAGTGTTTTCGGGTGTAGAGGTACCGTCTCAGCGCGTGATCATGGTACGCTTTCCCTTCCTTGAAATTCTGGACAAGCCCCGCCATTCTATCATCCTTGTTAACTCTGTTGGAACAGTGACGAGACGCTGGTCGTGAGGAAAAAATGATTCAAGCATCGCTACCTGACCTCCGGATTAAGCGTCAAGTTCCTCATGCTCACGAACGACGCCAATCCCACAGCTGCGGCCATAAACGCGATCAAAGGGTATACCTGTTCGATTGATCGATCGTCGAGAATTAGAAACTCGTGACAATGCGAGAGAATTGATGCGTCGGGGCCGAAGAAGTGGAGGGGGAAATCGCACCTCGGGCTTTGTCCATCGCTTGAAGTTCTCAATTTTTCTCCTCGCAATCTCTTTAGCGGAGAAGGCCATTTTCCTCTTCCCGGGAACAGAGCCCTAACTGTAAGTTGACGTGGCGCGAAACGTTTGGCTGTAAAGCATCCGCTGGCGCATTGCGAGATGCAATTTGCATTAGCCGTCGATTCAAAGAAGGTGCTTTCTGGATGAGAATATTTCTAATTCAGTCTCAGAAAACTAGACCTACTGGTTCTGGAGTTGCCGATGGGATCCGCGATTTGGAATCGGCGGATAGGGTAGCTCACAGGGAATAATGGATCTTCGTGCAAATCCAGGGAGATCGAAGCTCGCCGTGTAAATCGTGGGATTGATCCGATGAGTTCCTCAAGGACGAGCCCGCCCCATCACAGGCACGACGGGACGTCGCCGCTGCCGCTGGGAATGGACGCCAGTCCTGCTCCTTCGAAATGGGTAAGTTCTTCATCGAAATCTCCTCCCCTAGGTCGATGTCGCTCGAAATATTGCATGCGCTCGGTCGAATTTCGTGCATTGCGAGCTGAGATTTCCCTCCTCTTTGCAGGACGGCGCCAGCACGATCTGGCCTCACGATCCAAGGACTGGATGGAGCTACTGTGCGACGATCCCTTCGTGGGTGGTCCTTCCGGAAGCTAAGACAGCAGAGGGTACTTTTATCAATCCCACTGTGGTAATTGGTATCTTTTCGTTGGAAGGGATTTTGTGGAGCTGAATGGAATTCTCTTGCAGTTCTACAGGGTGCTCGTGGGGATCCAGTCACCGCAAGGTGTGACTTCTGTGCGGGGTATCCTGCGACGCTTCAGCGATTTCTTGAAGCTATATGCAGCAGTAAGTAGGTGGTATGGATTGTTTTTAGGACTTTTTATTTATCTAGTCATCTGAATTGGTGCTTCCAGCTGAAAAGTGCGCTCCGGAAGAAGAAAATCCCTCCAGCTCCTCCCAAGAACACACTGCTTCGTATCAATTCAAGCCAGGCGCTGCTGCAAGAGGTCTGACTGCGTGCTGCCTTGATGCTGTTCGTTAAATATGACGTTTTCAGACGATTTTTCTCTCAGAGAAGGCATGCATTGGACGATTGGATGAGCAGCCTTTTGAGCGATATTGAAATCTCTCGGAGTGCTCCTGTTGCTGCGTTTCTGGAGCTCGAGGCCGCTGCCCGTTCAGGTATTTTACTTATTTTTTTCTTCGGACGGTGCTGATAAATGCCTTTGCAGCTGCGAGCGCTGCCTCTGCTCAAGAGGACAGTGCTTCAGTCATCGCCGGTTTGGCACTCGAAGACTCTGGTCTCATTGCTCCCAGTTCACTGTATAATGGCTCTTCGTCGGTAGCTTCTCTCCCGGATTATGCTAGCGATGCCGCTTGCAGCACGTCTGGCGTGAGAACACCAACAAGTTTAAGTGAGCTGGGAGTAGAGGTCGAGACAGCAGATGACATAGCCACAGCTCAACGTAAGAAAAAAGGTAAAGACGTAGAACAAGGGTTGGAGGATGGCAAACAGGATAGCGAAACGTCCAAGATATTCAGATCAGTAAGTGAAGCAACACTAGATAATTTTCATAGAAGGAAGGATAGCGACAGTGATATAGCGAGCGAGCAATCCATTCCAATGTCCGTTGAAGGCCCCTCAGACACTTCGTTGGTGCTTGCTGCCGGTATTGAGCGAAGGATGGAAGGGGTGTCCAGTTTTGAGTCCGACATTTTAAAAGGCGCCTCGGTTTTCTTGCCGGCCGATCAGCGAGCAAACGTAAAGAGAGTCATGGCAGCACTTCAACGCAGATTTGAGATTGTCAAAGCAGATATGGAAGACTTGATCACGAGATTGAACCAGGAAGTTGCTGTCAAGGGGTTTCTGACCATCAAGGTACACTTTGTTTATCATAGAGTATTTCGGCTGACAAGAAATCATTGTAGGTGCGAGATCTCGAAGCAGAGCTTGATAATACGCGTCGCAAAAGTCAAGATGTGCTTCAACAAGCTGTCTCTGTGGAGCGTGAGCGAGTAACTGAACTGCAGTGGGAACTGGAGGACTGTCGTACCGCGTTAATGAACGTCGAAGAGTCTTTGCAAACGGAACGGGTGCGTTTCGTCGCAGTTTACTTCAGTTCTTAGTGGTCTAATGATTCTCGTTTCAGAACGATAGAGGCATGGAAAGCGAGAGTTTGCAATCTATACGCGTGGAACTCGACAATTCAAAGCAGCAGGTTGTTCAACTCCAGGAGAAGCTGGAGTCGTTGGCTAAAGAGCGGGATGCTATAGAGGCTCAAGCTCGTGCAGAGAAGAGAATTCTAGCAAAGGAGATTAAAACGTTGAGAAAAAACCAACCCGAGCTCAAAGAGGAACTCGACACAGCACTGCGAATCAAAGCCGAGTTGGAGGTGCTTAATCCGAGCTTTGTGTTGTTTCTAACCTTTCGTGTTTTTCTCATCCAGGGAGTCTTACGGAAGGAGAGAGAAAAGGAAGAGCTAGCGAGAAACTCGAGAGCCAGCTTCATGCACGAGGTTTCAGCTCTTCGACAACGGCTCCAAGAATGCAGTGTTGACTTCCTTGCCAAGGAAGATGGCGCCAAGAACTCCATCTCGAGCGACGCAATGGAGCTTCTCACGACGTCAGATAATCGCATCAATCTCCTGCTCGCAGAAGTAAGCTTTTGTTTATTCCTTTCACCTCTCAAGTTTTTTCCGTCCCAGGCTCGCTTGATGGCGGAAGAACGTGATGAAGATGAAGATGAGCACTATCCCACCGCGAATGGAGCCACTGCGAACTCGAATCCTCCGGATGGAAGTGGAAGCGAGGACGCGGTGAACAAGTTCCTGGTGGACATTCTCATCGACAATGCACAGCTCCGAAAGAGCATGAATTCGCTGACGAGGAGCGCTCTTCTCGCGGTCCAAAAGAGAGACAACATCGAGGGCGCCATGGAGGAGGCGGCTCCCAAGCGCAGCAGCGTGCTCAACAGGTTTTTGTGACGATCGATCGAAAGAGAAAAAAACTAAAAATTTTGATGCTGTAAATGTTTTGCACAGGTTTTAAGCTAAAGAACTATGTTTTAGGGTTCTTGGAGGTTTTGGATGAACAAGCCCGGGCAAGGCGGAGGAGGCGCTGCTGCTACCACGGCCGCGGCGGCAGCTGCGACGATCCACCGGCAGCGAGCGCTACTGCAAAGAGCCGATGCGGACATCGCGAATCTCATCGACAATTTCGCGCATATGCTCAAGGCGGCCAGGGTAAGCGGGCGATTTCTCTTTTTTCCTGTCCTGGTACCAAATGTAGGGGATTTTCTAGGTGAACGATCCCGTGAGGAATGCACAGGAGAACTTCCAGATGGACATCCATGCTTCTAGAGTGGTAAGCCAAAACGAAAAATATTCCATCATTTTTCCTTCAGCCAAATTTCTTCTCCTCTCATGATCTGATGATTTTCCTTTTTGTTCTTCCAGGTCCAAGCAGCCGACTCGCTTCTCAAGCTTGTCTCGGAGCTCAAGCAAAACGCCGTCTTCTCGGATTTCATCTCGCTTAACGAGTGCATCGCCGAGAGGGCCGCCAGATTCGAGGAGCAAAACTCCGACACCGAGAGGCTCCTCTTGAGCGTCGGCGAGGAGCTGGGCGCGTCGCTGGTAGAGCTCGAAACGCACTACTACAAATCACTACAGAGACTATCGCCGGCGGAGCATCAGGCCCAGGAGTGACGAGGAAAAAAAAAAGCTCGTCGCGTTTGTTTGTTTATTACAGGGATTTTGGACTCAAGTCACCACAGTCGTGATCTTTTCAGCCTCGAGATCTTTGAAGAACTTGTGAATCGGGACGAGTTCCTTCCTCATGAACTCGCGCTTGCCATACGCCCCGCCTGGAACAAGCAAGGATCACTCGCTCAAAAACGCGTCAAAGATCAAAAAAAAAAAAAAAAACAACGCAAGAGTGGATTTTTACCAACAATTCCCAGGAAGAAACCCATGCCGAGGTTGAAGACGAGGTTCCGGACATCCTTTGCGCTCATGTGACCCCCCATGTTTGCTGGCTCTTAGTTCTCGAAACGTTACGCGCTTTTAGGCCTTTTCACAAGTAAGCCCTAAAACTGTCGTCCACGTATGCCCTAATTGTTCACAATGGTTGGATTGGAAAGGTGGCAAAGGTGGTAAAGGTGACAAAACCGGCAAAATACCAGTATTTATAGCAAGTTTGGACAAGAAGGCCTCCATGTGCATGAATACAGAGAGGCCACGAGCAACGGAGAAGGCAATGGAAGAAAACAAAGTAGCAACTTGCATTTCATCGATGCCCCTTCTTCTTGGAGCCATGTTTTGGTATTTTGGCGCTGTGTGCGGCATCTTGATCTTGTGCTTGTATGGTGGGTGCTGCACACACACTCACTCCATACAACCCCGCTGGCAAAAGAAAATCAGTCTCCATCCCTTTCCGTACCACCTCATGCACGTGTTCCAACAGTGCTGCTCTTGTTTCCTTTTGCTTTTCCCGGACGACAAAGAGAGAACACTGACAAAAGTTTCACCCGGCGATTCCTGAGAGGGCTTCCAAAGTGCGCTCGTCCGCTGCCCATGCCCGCTCTAAAGTATTTCCGTTTGCTGCCAAGTGCGTAAGCTGGAAATCTATTCTTCAATCAATGATGGGATCGTGTCCTGGCGGTAGATCGATCATGGATCGCTGCTTTGACCGTACTGGCTTTTGGTACACATATCTATATGTATATCATATCACACAGGCGATTTCATATGCTCTTCGTTAGGTAGCGATCTCGAGCTGGTGTTTTCTTCTGATGGATTCGTCGATTGATTGATTCGAGTGAGGGCGACGCGGCACCGAAGAATGAAAGCGAGAGATCCAATCAGTCAGTGAGAAGAAGAGAGAAAACAAGTAAAAAACATTCGGTCGGAGGGACGGGAGCCCTGACCTCCCAACACACAACAAATAACAAACTCGTTCTTCCATGAGCAAAAAATGGCGCCAACGAGAGGCAAGAGATTGCGATCGGAAACAAGAAACACCAGCAGGAACTTAGACTCCAGCAAATGCCCGTGCTGGGCATTTTTAAACTGCTTCTTTCCCCTGCTGCTGTGCGCTCCTGTTCCTGTTCCTGGCGCGGCTGCGGAAGGGAACAGAGGCAAATAATGATTTGGGGCAACAGGGCTGCGAAAAATGCCGGCCTGTGGACGGCCTTTTGCAGGGGAGCACGCGCTTCCGTGCAAATACCCTGTTTAGTTTTGTGTTTCTTTTAGGGTTCATGGCTTATTGTTGTCCTTGGGCTGGGCAGGAGGGCATTTGCTGATGCCATGATGGCGGCATTATCTCGCAGGACGGATTGCTAGAGCGAGCTTTAAAGTTACTCCTCTCTCTCACACACTCCACTTCTTGGAATGGGTGACGGGGATCGAGCAAAAAGTCCACTCCTTGCGACTTCCCACAATTGAATTGAAGCCGGTATAATCGATCGATCACGAAAGAAAACGCAAAGCGCCGCCATTTGCCCCGGCGGATCTCTCTCTCACCTCTCGCTCGGGGGATTTGAAGGGATTTCTCGGGCCGCTTTCAAGACCAAGGAAAGCGAAAGCTCGTTCGTTTTGGCGGATCAAGGGGATTCTTTTCAAAATTCTCCTTCTCTCTTAGTAAGAGCTCACTCATCAAAGCTCTTATTCTCATCTCTTGCTTTTTTCCTCCCAGAAATTCCAATCTTTGTGATTCCTTTCGAATCCAGCGCAGAGAGCAAATGTGGTCCTCACCAATCATTCCTGCGCTGCTCGTCCTGTTCGTCCCATCTCTCTCCTCCTTGCGAGCAGCCATGGCTCGTCGTTAAGCAGCAGCGAGCAAGAAAAAGAAAGGAAAGGAAAGTCGCGGGAGGGAAGAAATGTGTCGGGATCAATCCAAATCAGTCGCTACTGCTGCTGCGCTAGATCATCAGTCTGCTGAGAGTTTCTAATCAACAACCGGCACAGACCCCGACGACCAAGACCACCGCTCATCTCCTCTTCAACCAAAAAGTGGAAAGGAAAAAGAGATCTCTTAGTGCGATAGCGAGGAAGAAGAAAAATCTCCACTCGATCCAAAAATATGGGACTTTGCATCTCTAGACGAGCAGTGGAAGCGAGCGATTCCAGCCAGCACGAGCACCTCTCCTCCTCCAAGATCACTGGAGGAGCTGGCGGCCGCGGCGGTGCGGATGGATCATCGGCATCGTCGTCGCTAAATCCCGCGGCAAGGCTCTTGCTCGACTCGCCACGGATCTCCACCGATATCAGCGAGATGGGCATGCTGGGCCTGCTCTTCCACAAGAGGTACTGCTGCAAGTCCCTCCCCTCCAGCCACCAGAATCAAAGAGGATACCAGAAGCTCGCGCTGGACATCCCTCCCAGCGAGCTGGTGATCCAGCAAAATGCGCTCTTTGAGGAGCAGCGGCGAGACGATGCAATGGAGGAGGAGGATCGCAAGAGAGACGAGGGAGGCGGCAGAGTGGAGGAGGAGGATGATGGGTATCCAGCATTCCAGCCCAATTCAAGGCCCGCCGCGGCGATCGAGCCGCCCATCACGCTGGCGGCGGTGGCGGCGGCGATCAAGGAGGGATCGCGCGTGGGCGGTGGCAGCAGGGGAACGTGGTCATCCGCGGGCGAGGAGTTTTACTCGGACTGGGAGGATCGATCCAGCACAGCGGCGACGGTAGTAGCAGCTCCGCCACCACCGCCGCCGCCGCCGCCGCCGCCGATAGTAAGTACTACTCACGAGCTAGGAGTTTTCGAGGCAGAGGAGTATTTCAAGGAGGATTCTTCCCATCCTTCGAGACCAAACGATCGGGTGGAGGGATCATCAGTCAAGTCTGTGGAAGAGGATTTGATCTCTCTTCCAGTGGCCAAGAGTGAAGACAGGCGCTGTTTATCCTCGCGCTCCTCGTCGTGCTCTTCGTCGGGTGGTGGTGCTGGAGTTGGATGGGCTTCGCTGTGCGCGGGTTCCAGCGCCGTAGAGATCGATCACAAGGTGAAGAGCCCGGCCAAGTCTATGAAGAACAAGGCTGATAACCACATCTACAAGATGCTCAAGCTCCTGGCATCGCCCTCCTCTTCACACCAACCGTCCATGGCAAGCTCTTCCAGCAAGCCGACTAGAGGTGGCGAGCATCGGTCCGCGCGGAAGACACACAAGAAAAAGGCCAGGATCGCCGAGACTCAAGTCAAGGAATGGATGGATCGAGCCAGGAAGAGCCTCGACACGGATCAGAAGAACGCCATGGCCTCATCGCCTCAAAGGTCTTCCGTCACCCAAGAACAAGTGGCGAAGAAATGCCAGGGTGGTGGAACCGGATTTGGGTCGCCGTTCCCAGCGTCACCCAAGCAGCAAAAGAGCTCCTCCCTCGATCAACTTAAGCTCGCGCAAGATCAAGCCAAGGAGGACGATGATCACAACGACAGTGACTCCAGCTCCGACCTGTTCGAGCTCGACAGCGTCACCACCAGCTTGAGCTCGGCTCGCTCTTCTCTGTCCCGGCTGAGCTCCGCGAGATCATCCGTGCGCAAGTCCACCGTCGACGAGCAGGACATGCTACACGTAAATCTCGTCCCCGCGGATCACAGCAGCGCCAAGGTGTTGATATCGTCCTCGGAGGCCGTGATCCATCAAAACCATCACTGCAAAAAGAGTGGAAGCAGGAGGGACAAGGAGGAATTAGATGGTGCGAGCAATGCTGCCGTGCTGATCATGAAGAACCGGAGGCTGCACGGCAGCAAGATTTCTTGCCTGGATTCAGGTCCGCTCTTGAGCATTGTCGAGGAGAGCAAGCCGGCATCAGTGGCTAGCAGCCCCGGTGGATTAAATTCATGGAGCAGCAGCACTAGTGCTTTGACAGTGCAAACATGAAATTAAATCTTGATTGATGGGTCTACTCGGACGGACTTGGTGGTCGGCTGACCATGTCTAGGAGCATGGTTAGAGAGAACTAGGCTGGGGGTGGGGTCCCATGCCTTTGTGGAGAATCACCTAGCAAACTCACGAATGTCAGCTCAGTGGACTTTAACCCGATCTTCTCTCACATTTGTAACAACATTGTTTTGTCTGGCAATGAGTATAGGGTTTAAGCAAACTAGAAGATTTAAAAAGTAAATTTAATTTAAAAAGTTTCGGTGAATATTAAGCAGCTGGTTGGGAAGAGTTAGGAGGCAGTTCCCAAATTTTAAAAGTGCCAATGTTATCAATTTTTACATAGTTTTCAAGGTTCAAAAATATTCTCATTCTTTAAAAAAGGTAGTTTGAATATTCAAAGAATCAATGCATAAATCTATATATTGCAAGTGTGAAAGCCTAGAATATATAAATTTAAAATTTGTATTAGCCCAAAACCTAAGTTTATATATAAAAGTGATTGGTCTAAATTGGATAGTTATTTATCCCCTCCTCTTAGAAGGATGGAAAACAATTATAATTCTCTGATCAATAGTAAAGGAACATTATGAGGCATTGGTGGATCTATAAGTGATACAATTTGTTTTTAATTCCTCTATATGAAATGCTTCAACCATTGCATATACATAAATTCTAGGGGATTAGCTTATTGAATGTTATGTTGAATATTATAAACTTATGACCTAACTTACTACAATATTTGATATGACTAAACAAGGAGACTTGTAAATAAACCATATACCATAAGATTAAGAAAATAAATTACTTTATACTCTTTATATAGATGTGTGAAACACAAATCCCTAAGCCCTAAAGTGGAATAAAAAATATGCCAAATGACAATAATCTTTAAACTCCTTTAGACTCCCACTTAATGGCACTTGCTCTCCTTGACAATGCTCAAGAGACTCCTTTAGACTCTTATCAAAAGCTTCGACTCAAAAAGTTGAGAAGAGTGGAACTCCCAACAAAGTGTTCAAGGAATAAGCACAAAGTGATCAATGAATGAGTCTCTAAAAAAGGACACAAGAAGGACTGATATATAGCAAATGTCATGACACGTGAAAATGTTGGGACCGAGTTCGAGGAGTCTGAGATAGAAGATTGAGTCCAAGACCAAATCTAAGTTCAAATCTAAGTTTGAGATTGAGTCCAAGTCTAAGTCTAAGACTAAATCCAAATACTAATATAAGTCATGGGGTGAATGTCTCTGGGGGGGGATGTAAAAATATAATAAAGAGAGTGTAAGGGTTGGATTTCAATGGAATTAGTTTGGCCAAAAAAGGTCATTGT